CTATCAATCTCCACCAGGTATTGTCTGGTAACGGCTTCCAATGGCGGACCTTCCCTTAATCTAGATGGGTTACCGAAATATCTTTGTGCCTGAGCTACTAGCTTCTAACAGCAACGGCTCACAATGACTGAAATGCAGTTCTCTAACTCCCACCCTAGTGGCCACCTCACACCAACCTCCTAGTCTTCGCTTCACGCACTAAGAACTGACTAAGCTCTGAACCTCATCTCGCTTATAATCCCTCAGCTTGGACCACGTAGAAAGCACAGCTTTTCCATTGTTGCCACATTCCTCTCCATGTGAACGTGCCTGTCCGCGAATGCGTCACCCAGCAACGGCCGCGTATACTTGCTTATTAAAAACCTGTTGCCTAACAGCGAATGTTGTTTCGTTATCTGTTTCGAGGTCGTTACCCAGCTATGGCTCTACACGCTACAATATGTAATCTAATATTTTGCACAGAGAGTGTATTTACAGGTTGCATTTGGCTACCAAAACGTCGATGATTTTCCTCATCGCCTTCAAACCGATGCCAATGGTGGAGAGAGGTTTTATCTTGGAGCAGGGAGACATATTTTTGTACAATAGCCCATTATTTACTTTAACGTGGTTACCTGGATCAAGGAACTGAAATTTTTGTACGCTTTTCAGAGTATTTCAAAATATGGCGTTTAACTGAACTGTTATTTATGGAATCCAAACAGAAAAGAATTGATCCCTTTGGAACTACAGCCCACGATCATTTAAACGACCACAATATCAGTGATGGAACTGAGATTGCTTGCCGATATTTAGGTTATCAGGTATCTTATAAGACATAGGAATAAAAGGGTAAGATAACCATGACTAATCAAAAGGTGAGGATTTGAAAGGAGGCGGTGGCTGCCAATTCTAACCCAGAATTTGCTTTAAGATATTGAGAAGATCCATTATAAACCTGGCCTACAAGAATTTCGAAATGGATGGTTCCCAACGTCTTCGAAGGAAATATATTTTAAATGTGGGGACTCTATGGAAAGAAAGATTGTCCTTTATCGGGTCGTCAGGCGTGGCTATACCGGCTTAGGGTTAAGATTTCTTAGGCTTCAAGCAAACCCAGAGCTTGGGTTTGAAATTAAAGTATTTAAATGGGTGGTGAACGATAAGGTAATTAAGAAGATGAACTTCTTAGTTTCAGTTAATGTTTATTATGATGACAGCAAAGTGATAACAGCAAATATTAATTATGAAGAAAGCAGTCTTTTGGGATTTGGCACCGTGTATATGTGGTGTTAACCGACGTTTCGGAGGAACGTATCGCCTACATCTTCAGGGTAGAAGAAAAAATATAAGAAATCTGCAAGCGAAGAGACCGTGAGAACCGGTAAAAGCAGTCCTACCAAACGTCGGTTAACACCACATATACACGGTGCCAAATCCCAGAAGACTGCTTTCTTCATAGTCACCGCCGTGAAAGCCTCAAATCTCACATAGATGCAAAATATGTCATTATCTAGATATCCATTCCCTGGCTATCAATAATTTCAATTAAAATATCTCTTTTGAGTTGTAGAGCACTATCCTTTGTGATGTAATGCTGTGTAGTCTTGTAGAAGTCCATCAATGCTCCCCTGAAACATCGGCGAACTTCTACCAGAATACACGGTATTACATCCCAGATGATATTACTCCTCACAGTCAAAACTGTAAGAACCTCAAATTCAGTCCAATTTTCTTTACTTTATCCTACTGAAATCACAATCACTTGGCAATGCAAGAACACTTAATTAAGAGATAAGTAGGTTACATGATGTAATTACAGCAGGAAGTGACAAAGACATAAGGACCCTAGTATAGAGTGGACAACTGCACAATTTTCTTAACAATAAAAATAAAACTTGATTAAATTACATTAATAAGATTTTCATTATTAATTTTGTTGTAGTTGTACAATTACATTACATGTTTCAATCTTGAAAGATATAATCAGATGGATTCAAAATAAAATACAGAATCAACGCACTGTAAATTAACATTAAAATATATTTCTATAAAATGGTTCAATTTTTCAGATAAAAGAGGTATACTTTTGTATTAAAAGTTTAAATATCCTTTAAACTGTAGATGAGGTTATTTGTGGTTTAGTATATATATATATATATATATATCGGTGTATTGTGGTGAGTAGTGTGTATGGTTTGATGGATGTTTCTAACATCAAATTTCTCGCTGAGTCGTTGGGTCAATGTGGTTGGGTGATGGAGGGTGTTGTGAATGGCTGTTTGCAATGATTTTCCTGCTTTTAGTTATCTACTGCAACAGTTCATGTATATCGCAAACATATAGTTGTATGTGGTAGGTAGCTGTTGTTGACTGCGTTATAAGGTTGGCATCATCTACAAGTGCAGCCTCATACAAATTCTCTTGTATCTGTTAGGTCATGGGTTACATGCGCAATGGGTGCTAAGTGATGTGTATAACCCTTGTTTGTTATTGCTGGTCTGCAAGGTCAGTTTTTGTGGCTGGTTGTAGTGTTATGAGGCAATGGGTGTGTCTCAACACCGCAGGGTACAAAGAATAAAGACATACAGACAATGGTCCTGGAAGACTGACAAATGTAGAACAAATAAAAAGAAAGCTGCAAACTACAATTTAGTAAACTAACGCTGTCTGAAAGCAGAAGCATCCTCTGAGGCTCATGCCCCAGGTGCAGCTGAGCTCCTGTGGTGTCACAGTACTGATCTCTGTTCTGAGCAAGTTCAAATTAATTCACATGTTCATAACTCTTTCTCTAAAATGTATTTTAATATTAGCCCTCCATTTGCATGCATATCACCAAAGTGTTCTCTTCCTTTTAGTTCTTCTAACGAACAGCCTGTACATGTCTGAACAAAATCCCTGGTTTTCAAATTCTGATTTCTCCAAAGTTCCAGAATTATTCTTATACCTTTCAGTTTCAAGGTTCCCTGTAGCTAAAATTGTTACAGGTACAAATCTAGAGCAATGTGACATAATCTTTTGTTGATTATACATTGATCACATTCTCTAGAGCCTGCAATGAATTTTGAGCATTGATTGCTGCTGCAGTAAGCTGCTGAAAATATCCATAACTTTTTTATTTGGTTAACTGTCCAAGCAAGGCCTCTAAAATACTCTTCCCATAAAAATATAGGATCTGCAGTATCCTGCCATTCAGAATACGTCATGTATTCCTTTCTGGTCATCTAATTAATACTTTCCACCATCTCAGTGTCATGTGTGTGGAGTTTACATAGCAACATGTTATCATGACTTTGTTCTTGTGATGAAAGTCTGAACAAGAAGCACACCCTGCTCAGAAGGGAACCACATCACTTTTAGACATAAAACGAAGTTTTATGAAGCCGACTGCTTCAAGTTAGCCAGTACACAAAAAGACATAATCAGTGATTCATTTAGAATACCTCTGTACATGCTAGCAGGCCCACTAATAAATATATCTTTATTACCAGTCAGTCTAGGACAGAAACTCATTATCTGTGGATGCAACTGGCAGGGGAAACACTCCAAAGAGGCCTCAAGGACACATACAATTTGAAGGTAAATTCTGGAAGATGTGAGAATAAATTGGAATAGGTTCTAAGTAACAAAATTAGGGCCAGAGATGAGTGGTGGTGGTTTTGTAAGAAACCCAAATTAATGAAAACGAGGAAAACAAAAACAAAACAATATGCATGCACAGTGGCATTTGCATTTAATTCATGTTTATTGATTTATGGTGCTTCCTCATAGCAACTGGTTATGGGCTGGAGAGCCAGGGTTCAATTCCTGGCATGGGTAAGAGATCTTTCTTTAATCTACAGCATCCAGACTGGCTCCCATTCAATGGGCTTCTTTCCTGGGTTGGAGGGTAAAGCAGCAGGGGCATGAAACTGGCCAATCACCATCTCTTCCCAAGGTCAAGAATGGTGGAGCTACATCTCCATTCTTCCATACATATTCAAGGTGTAGTGCTTATTTAATTAAGCACACAGACAGCTTTACCTTTACCTCGTTTAACGTTCACTTTAAATGATCCAAATTCATATACCCAGTGCTAAATTTCCTCCAATGAAGATTTTCTTCAATTTAATGTTCAAATCCACTGCTTTTCAAAGACATTTTAGACAGGGATTTTATATATATGTCAAGCCTATCAGTTAATCACTTTCTATTTCTGAAGAAAAAATATAGTTCTCAGAATTCTTATCCCATTTAAAGTCCACCAGAAGCGCTGAAAAAGGAGAAGTGCTAGCACCCAAATCATTGTCAATATGCACCTAATCATCAGAATTTGGCCACTGAAACAGCACTTTATCCCACAATATTAAATATATTATTTTTCTGTATTTCTGAGGTATTTACTTTTTTGTTTTACTGCTATGTAATTTCTCAAAACAGTAGTGTAACAGCACTTTCAGAACAGATCTGCTCATTATGCATAACATACTCTTCCATATAGGAGAACTTTAGTGGACATAACATTAACAGTGTTAATTAAACTGAATACAATGTCAAATGCATAGCACGTCAGACATGTGAACCTTAAACAACTTAGTAAGGAAAAAATATGTACACAGAAAGTGAGATGCTTCCAATTTGAATTCCCATAATGGAAGCCAATATACTTTATTAGACATATATATATATATAACATATTTTTCACATTACTTTATGCAGTATATGTTTTACATGTTGTATACCAATCTTTTGCACAAGATGTACATACAATATACTAGTAAATATATATAATTAACAAATTCTATCATACATAAGCATCTCTCAAAGTGTTTTTTACATGATATGAAATTGGAAAATTATAACTATCAGTTATTCTTACTGATAACTGATAGGCCGTGGAGGTCCATAGGGTTCTGAGACACTGATGCTCCCACATTTTCTAGACGATCGACTCACAGATGGCGGTGAGATTGTCAGACTTACACACCAGTCACCCTTTATCCCCCAGGAAGATTCCTGGTACTCATTTCTGTTAGAGCCGACCCCAGGGCCATAGTGCAGCTGTAAGGATTAGGTCAATTGAAAAAACCCACTGACCTCATTAGGAATCAAACCTGCGATCGTCCAACGTGTAGCTACTAAGGGAAACAAATTTATCCAACATGTCAATTACAGAATTTAATGGATCAGTTCAAAGAGACAGTTTCTGAGGCCTAAGACCAAGTCTGTCAATAACATGTTGAGGCATGCAGTATGTAGGATTGACAGGTTTAACAGTGGGGTCTCCTAGTAAAGACAAGGCGGCTAATCCAAAAAGTGTATGAAAAGGATCAGGTAGGTCACCTGGACGGTCACTGAAGCCACCTGTTTCAGGGTCTTGGCATGCTAACACAAAAGTAACTAGAGCTTCACGATGAATCCAGTGTGAGCGCCCTAGTATACACAAGGAGGCAAGCACCCACCAGGAGTAACACACATCGGGAAGTTTCTCTGGTCTACCGTTCAGGCCACCTGAAGGTAACTGTCGCTCGCATAACCACCATCCTAATAGATCAGCATCTACATAATGCAAGTGTCCTGCAAGTACAAAAATATATTCTTCTTAACATCTTTATATGTAATAATTTGTCAAATACACTGGAACCTGCTGTTCCTCAGCTAGTGGTCAGCTGCTCTCAGACTCCTTTTTTGAATGCTAGGATACTGCCTGAAAACGCTTCCACATAACAATTCCATGCCACAGCACTAAAACATGTTTGTATGTTATTCCCTTCTAATTTAATCTGTTACAGAGTTAATTTCTGATGTTCTGATAATACATGATGTAAGAGAGCAAGGCTCTTTTCACATGTTTCTTCCAATTCCAAAACACTCCTTGTTAACATAAAATAACATAAAGTAAATATTTTGTAAAGCACTGTGATTCCTGCTTCAGAAGGTCTCTTTTAAGACTGTTTCATGCCTAATAAATTAAAATGACTGGGTCCCAAACCATCACCATGAGGATATTGTATTTAAATCTCATTTAAAATTAAAAATATATACGCAGCAATGAAAGAGCTGGGACAGCGCAGTCTGTACAGCAACTGGTTATGGGCTGGAAAACCAACGGGTCGGAGTTTGAGTCCCAGTGGGGGCAAGAATTTTCATTCATCTCTCCATGTTGTCTGGGGCCCACCCAGACTCCTATCCAATGGTTACTGGGGGCTCTTTTCCTGGGGGTAAAGCGGCCAGGGTGTGAAGCTGACTGCTCCCCTATGACTAGTGCCGAGGTCAAGAAAACATGGATCTACACATGCACTCCCCCATACGCCTTCATGGCATAGTTCTTAATTAGTTAAGCACGGGGACAACTTTACCTTTTACCTTTTTCATTGCAGCTAAGAAGGGCAATTTAAAGGCTCACATTGAACACTTTACAAATTTAATAAGTTTTTGTTACATTATGTTACATGCAAATATGGACAAGAAACAAAGCAAACATTTGCAAAAATCAACACCATGCAAGTGCTCAGTAAGCATCAGAAGTTAGGTAGAACTGACAAAGATGTACCAAGTGCTGTTTCTATTACTTCTTTTTCTCTCATCTAATGGAAGCTGCTTATAACATGGTCTACGTATTCTAGCATATGTAAACTGCCACATGATGAAGTTTCTGAAATTGTGTGAACTGTACTGACCTGGATATTATATACTGTTGTATTAGATTGTGAATATTATATATAAATATTTTAGTGTTAAAGATGACTAAACAATCTGCCATAAAATGTAAGGCATCAGTTTCTGTAAAACTGAAAATCATTAAGAAGGTGGATGTTCAACCACATGGCACACACAAAAGATAGCTGACAGACTGCTTTACTTTTGTTAATGCTAGACAGTATTATGGCACACAAAAACTACTTCAGCAATGTGTACGTGCTCAGCCAGATATACAGAAGTTAAAAACTTGTAACTATAAATTTAAATTAATTTTTTAAACATTGCAGAGCCTTTCCTTTTAAGACGTTCTCTGCTTCAGAAATTTATATTGGTTAGTCTCTTGTAAAAATTCTTAAGAAGGATCCATATAATCGGATGAAATTCACAGCTACAACTTAATTGGGTCAAGACTATCAGAGTAAACCATTACTATTTTCTGTCTCTCGCATTCCTCCCTATTCATCATGCATAATTATCAACGCATATTCTGATCAACAGTATATCATCTCAGCAGCTAATCCAGCATCATAAAAAAAGATTATAAACATAAATATCAAGCAAAAATACAAAATTACAGCAGTTAAATTCAGAAAAGATCTTGATCAACCATTCATTGTGAATATGAAACTGTCATCAGAAAGGATTATATATATTAAAAATTCTACTAAAGAAATATATTAAGTAATATAGATTTGTGTAGCTATCAGTTACTCCAAGTACATGTAGCAAAAAAGTGGCAAGTCAAATTCACAGTGAATTCACTATGCAAATGCACATATGACTGGAGAGAAGGCAATACTGTAATATCTTATTATATTTTCTTCCACCTGGAATAATCATTATACATCAGAACAATATTCTAAGAAGCAGTACAATAAGCCTTTCACATTACAGATGTAACAGTTTGGTAAAGTTGTCCCTGTGCTTGATCAGTTAAGCACAGGGACAAGATATGAAGACATATGTGGAATGGAGATACAGCTCCACCTTTCTTGACCTTGGCACTAGACAGAGGTTGGCTTCACGCTCCTGCTGCTCTACCCCCATTACCCATTGGATAGGAGGCTGGGTGAGCCCCAGGATCAGCCTAGTCACAGTGAAGAAAAGAAAACTCTTGTACCATAGGTCTGTACCCCACTGCAACTCATGATGTAATATTTTACCACATGGATAAAAATACAATGCATCATACAGCAATTATGTTTTTCCTTGAAGATATTATTCTTTCTTTTTTCTCCCTTGTTTAATGTCTTATATATAATTCACTTTTGACTGGTTGATCCATAAGTTTATTTAATTACGTTATTTTATTTGCAAATTTCATATATTTGTAGCATCAAATTAGATTAGAAGTTATATGAATGATGAATGTGTATGGATTTGGAAACAAAGGGATCAGTTTAAAGGTACCAAGAAAGTGAATACACAATTTACAAAACTGAGCATTATATTCCAAGAACCTCAAAAAAAAATTGTGAAAAGTTTGCTGTTTCATTAACTTTATACTACCAGTTGTATCAACTCATTCATGTCTATGAATAACAAGAGGGCCATATGTAAATCACGTATCTACCTTTAGTGTTTGTTTCCAGCCTATTAACACTTTTCTTGAATAGTCTAATCATTCTATACAATCTGTAGGAGAAGTATATAAATCATAAACAGAACTTGCAAAATTCACTCTCTGCCCAAAAATGTCAGTGCCTGAATTTCAAACTCTGTCTGTAACACATACAGGTGCAAGCATACAATGTTGCTCTGACGTCCAGATTTTGATAACTGGATAAATAAAGTAAAACCCCTGATTAAGGTTTCTTTGGGGAACTGCAGATTTGTACATTAAAGTGAGGAAAATCTTAAATGGAAGTTAAGAGAATGGATTGAAAGGTCCAAATCTTGACGTTGATGATGGAAGCAACTTAATAATAAGGGTAAGAGAGAATTAACATAATTATGTGCCACTATTATCATAATATATTATGATAGTAAAATGCGTGATAATGGCAACACAATTCTTTGTCTAGTCGCAGATAAATAAGAACTAAACAACCAAGTTCATGATTGTGGTAGTAGTCCCTTCTGTCCTCCCATTCCAGTCAAAACATTAGTATGTGCTGCTGCCAGCTCCTTTGTTTCACAATATTTACCACTTTAGTTTATCTGATTTTATCCTGATAGACAGGGCATGCCCTTTCATATACAGAATGTACAGCAACAGAACATCCACAGCATAACCATGTGCTCTTGGGATCATTTTGAGTTGAAAAGTTCTAATGAACATGAGCCCAACCTGCAATGGTTTGTGAAAAAAATGAAAATAAGAAAATTCCGCCGCCACCACCAACACGACTACTACTCATCATCTTCATCAGTAATCTGTCAAGACGACAGGTCCACAGTCTCTTCCAAAACAAGTCCTCCACTTAATGCGATCTAGAGCTTTCTCCTTCAAATGACAGTATCCTCTTCTGTCCCCAAGGTCATCCAGCATCTTCTTACGTCTTCTTGTCACTTCTATCCGCCCATCTATCTTTCCTTCGATAACTTCTTTTAGAAGGCAGTTTCTGCGTAAA